TGCGGGAACCCGGTTCCGAGGGGTGGGGGGGGTCCCATGGCTTGCACCTCCAGCTGCAGCCGTACCATCTGATGGCAAACGGAGTGGAGAGATTGGCTGGGGTTCGGTAGCTGCTGGACTTGCGGCAAAAAATGTCCTCGCGACACGTGAAAATAAATTGCCTGGTGCCTGTCGGTGCAAGCAGGAGAAGAGAAGGATTGTGTCTATAGGAGCGTGAATCAGGCTGTGCGTGTTTGTCATCCGGAGGATGGCAGCTGATAACTCCTGGAGGCGCTTGCCACCTCGCGTACGGAGGAGCCTGTGTCGCCTGGTCCCGGGGAGGGCTTGCGCAGCAGGGCTACTGGTTGGAGCAGCGCATCGGAGCTGAGTCTCCTCCTGCGAGCATTTCTTCGTTGGCCCACCCGAGGAAGTTGTTGCCGATGGTGTGCTTTGAGTCGTTTGCACTGCTTCCACCCGCTGAATGTGGCTGTCTGGCTAAAAACTCGGTTGCGTTCTTTCTCCTTCCTTTCTTCCAAACGCTGGTGCTTAGATCCCCTCCCTTTCTGTCTGGTCTCTGTCTAGTAGCTTGGAGTCCAGAGGATCTGTTTCATACCCGTTTGCCAAATTCACTGCAGCTTCTCAGAAGGTCTAATGACCTCTGGTAGTCTGTACTTCATCTTTACTTCTCTCACTGTACCCTTTCCATAGCTGAGATCCCACAGAAGTCACCCCCCATCTAGGAGAACATGGGATTTGAACGCAACAGCTGCCTCACGAGAAGACTTGAAAGCTGCTGTGATACCCAGGAGTGGCTTTGCAGGATCTTTGCCAAGGGCCGGTGAGAGCCAACTGGGAACTGGAGAGAGGAGTTGAAGGAAGATCTTAAATTCCTCCAGCCTGCAGACCGGGCTGGTTTGCATCGGTACCTGGCACTACAGGTTTCCCCACGGGAAGTGTCCTAAGCCCACCCTTCCTTCTCGTCTCGCTCCTTTTCTTGGTGGATGTGTCTAGAGTGACGTTTGTGGCAAGTTGCTTCTGGCAGCAGAGAACGGGGGAGCGGGCTGGGCTGGCCTGGCTGCTGCTCTGGTGTTAGCCCTACGGCCACGTCTCCGTAGAAAGGCTTAAGAGAGCCAGAGCCAGAGGGGAAGGCGAGCTGGGAGGAAGGGTTGTTTGCGCTGCGAGTACCTGCGGGCAAGGACGGTGACAAAAGCCCAGCGGAACGGCCGTGCGCAGACTGCAGCGGAGCGGCGGGGGTGCAAGCCTGGGCTGTGGCTCCAGCCATGCCAAAGACCTCTCCAGCCTGGGTATTGTTTGTGGTGGACTTAGATCCAGCAAAACGTGTGGCGCTGGCAGGAGGTGAAGACATTCCTTGGACCTACGCGGAGGCAGCCGCTTGAGAGAAGAGACGGAGGGGAGCACCTCGGGAGCGCTCGGTCTAGCGCGGGCAGCAAGCGGTGCGTGGTGGGAGCCAAAGCGCGTTTGCCCACCTGACCTGGCTTTCATCAAAAGCGTGTTTTTAATACAACTGTCTGCAAGGCTGCCTGTTTAAAAACAGAGTCTGGAGCCCAGGCTGCCAGGAGAGAAAAGCATCTCTTGGAAAGGAGCGGCATCTCCGGAGAGGACTTGGGAGTTTTGCAAATAACTGGGTAGGTTCAGACGTGTCAACGTACCGAGGCAGGGTGACCGCGAGGGGCTCAAGCTGTGCAGTGGGAAGGCTGTAAGCAAAGGATCCGAGTCCTGGTGCCTGCTCTTTCGGAAAGATGCTGAAGGTTAGAGTGAGCTCAGAGAGGAGCGAAACACTCATGTCTGGAAGGTGAAGTGAGGACATTTCAGCGCTTAGGAATTTACAGCATGAACTCGTACTCCGCAGGTAACTTTCGAGCGTAGACGTGCCCTGAGAATCATCCAAGCTGGAACGAGATGCAGCTTTATATCGGCAAGGGAAATGATCGACTGGAGCAGAAAAGCGTGCGCAACCTTTACCTCGGGACGGGATGTTTGGTATTCATCGTGTTGTGATTCAGCCGCAATTAGATGCGCTCCACAGGGGTGACGGCACTTGCCGCAGGAGTCAGGGGAAAGGTCTTTTTGGGTACGGGCTGCCCCGCGTCCTTATGAAACGCTCCTCACGTAGGAGTGTTCAGGAGCTGGAAGAGCTGGAGAGATCAGGAGTAAGGTGGGAGGGGGGAAAGATGCAGGAAGGTGCGAAGGGGGAAAGCAAACAGGTAGTTAGAAGGCAAAAGAAGATGACTGGAAAAGGGAAAATAAACGAAGGTGGAAGTGTGGAGAAGGGACAACCAGAATGTCAAAGGACCATGTGCTGGGCATGAACTCACATGTCCCGTGTCCTGGCCCCTAAACACTCCCTGTCCTAACGCCACGCACGTCACGTCACACCTCTGTGCTTCGGGTCCCTGCGTGTGAGATGAAGGTGATAACACTTCCCTGCCTGGGGGCGGTGAGGTCCGCTACCACGGGGTGTTTCTCTTAGCTCCGCGGTGTGACCCCGACGGAAGCACAAACACAGATGCTCCGTCTCATTAATTACCAGAGCCAAGGGCAGCTATGGCCTCAAGCAGACAGAAGCAGCGTCGAAACCCTGCAAAACAGGGGTGAGGTGGGAGTAGCGGTGATCGCTGGTTTGCTGCGAACTTACTTACGGCTCTCCGCATTGCAAACGTTTTCACTCTCACCCGTTACCGGGATGAGTCGTCTCTCACTCCGGAGCTTTATTTTGGCAGGAAGGGGTTTGCTTTTGTCACTGTTCTGTATGTAAATACGCTCTTAGATAGGTGGATGAGCTGCTGCTGCGTCGGCTGGTGCCTGCGTTACACTGAAGGTACTCGCGGATGAGTTTTTCTTGGGCGGCTGCAGCTTCAGGCATGTTTGCGGATACGGGGCAAGCGTCACAAGGGGCTGTTTTCTCCCACTTGCCGGGGTCTGGGAGCACAAGCGAGTGCCTGCCTTAGTGTGAAACAGTAAATTTAAGAACATCTTTGGAACGTATTTGGGTGTAATCGAGGAAAAAAAAAAAAATCTAATAGCGAAAAGAACTGTAATTTGTGCAGTTCCTGCAAGCACCGGTAGTGCAGGATTTAACCTGCGTCTGTGTCACGGATTCCGTAACAGCAACCGCAGCGGGCTGAATTTCCCTCGCAGCTGAACTTGCGCGCTTTCGAACAAGGTGGTTCGTTCGTGAGCTGCTTTGCTCTTTGGTTTGAATTTTGCAGGATCTCGCTCGCAGCCCCGCGGTCTTGTTCTGGGTCAGTGCCGGTAGTCGCCGCAAGGATCGGACTGCAGGTCTGGTTTTCAAGCGGCGTGCGATGGGATCTCTTCCCGTTTGCCTTCGTGCTTGTACAGCCCCCAGCACCAGGATGAACGGGAGTTAACAGTCTTACCGATGCTTCTCCTAGTCTGATTACCCGATGTATACTGCGAGTCGTGTCGCACGTACGAAATGAAGCTGTAAATCGTACCCCTGAGATGGCTTGGATGAAAGACGCTGCGCGGTGGGGGTTTGTTTTCTCTTCCTTTTCTGAAGCAGTGAATGCCCGTGAATTGAAGGAACAAAACTGCAAAAAAAAAAAAAAAAAAAAAAAAAGAATTACTGCGAACTCTTTGTTTTAAAGAGATGATTGGAAGTTGGTGGTTTGTTAATCCTGCACCTTTCTTCCCTGCAGCTTGTCACGAGTCCTGTTCCTCATGCTGGGGTGCTGCCGAGAACAACTGTTTGTCCTGCAGAGACACGTCGCGCGTGCTAAAAGCGGGGCTCTGCGTGGCCAGCTGCGGGCAGGGATTTTATACAAAGGATGGAATCTGCAGCGGTAAGGACCTGTTTTCTTCTCCAATTGCAAGAAGTTTGAGAAATGCTCCGCAAAAAAGGGAATCGATGTTTCGTTTAGCCGTGCAGCAGCTGTGGTTTTATTCGTGACTCATTTTATCTCGTGCATAAAGAGCGGCTGAGGAAAGCTGATTATTAATTCATTTGAGCTAATCAGATGCTGAAAGCGGTAAGGTTTTTTCCCTCACCGAACAGCTCGAAAGCCTAACCGAGTCATTTCTGAGGGCTTGACAAATCCATTTTTCTGCAGAAAGAAAAATGCCCTTTGCCAGCAGGTTTCTGTAAATTTGATTATAACTCAGGATCACGGTAATTAATACCTGCGCAACAGCTGAGAGCTGGGAGCTGGGAAGGTTTGGTGAGGAAAGGGGAAGAGACAGCTGGAGGGAATTAAAAGACCCAAGTCAAACAGATCACAAAGAGGGGAAAAAAAAAAAACCCTGTCAAATAACTAAAGAACCTGGAATTTGCCACCACCGTTCAGGTCGAGTCTGGGTTTCTGCTGGCAGCCACCTCCAGGCGCTCTGAGGGACCGTCCGGCAGAGCCAGGAGAAGTGATGCAGGGTTGTCTGTCTGTCTGCCCGCAGGTCTGTCTGAGCCGCAGCTAGCTAGAGAGGCCTTAAAACCTGGAGCGTGTTGACAAAATTGGTGCTCTTTTGGCCGATTCTGGATGCGTTTCGCTTTGACCGGGTTCCCCTTCAGTTTGGGTGACGTCTATACCTACCAGTAAATTTTGCTCGCCTGGGTTTCGAAGCGCGCGGGCTTGAAATCTGACCTGTGTAGCTGCAAACCATTTCAGCTCAAAAGGAAGTGGAACTTAGATGCAGCTTGGCCATAATTTTGATTTTTCTTCCCAGCGATTTCTCAAAACTGTGTAGCCGTCCCTCACAACCTCCAGGCCTTCCATCCTCTCCCAAAACCATGCGTCTTGATACCCACCTGGGGAGCTGTGGGGGGTTTTAAGGGGAGGCTGGCTGGCTGGTGACAAGAACCGAAGGCTGGTTAAGGAAGACGCTTGGCCCCGCTGAACACAGAGCGGCAGTAGAGCTTAGGGGAGCCAGAGTTTCATGGTGCTCTTAGACAACAGGGCAGTTAACTTCAGAACGGATTGCCAGGGAGAACATAGACCGCAGGAATTGATAAGAAACATTATCATGCTTGATTTTAGATGCATTTTCCCCCTTACAACTTTGACTTGAAGAAAAGGGGGTGGGGTGGAAAGTACATTTTTTTTAATCAACTTCTCCTCCATCCTTGACTTCCTGAACAGCCTGATAACTGATGCTCGTCCTACAAAGACATGTAAAGATTTATGAGGTGCTTTTCATACGTGACTTCGTCCGGAATCGCGCTCCCCGTTCACAGGAAAAACACGCCGCGTTAGCTGGAGGGGGGTCGTGTCGGGAGCGGAGGGAGTGCGGGTGTCGACCCATTTCTGGTGTTCGTACTTACTCGCGGTCCTAGACGGGATGCAGGTCGGCGCATACCTGTCCGCACTCGCACGTCTACCTCCGGGAATGTTGCTGCTTATTCCAGGGAAGCGCGAAAGGTCACTTGTGCTGGAGAGGCATGTTTAAAGATGCCTTTCTGGCAAAAAAGAAGACACGGTTTGGCTTGCTTTATCTTCTCGCTGCGGCCAGGTCGGCGGCTCTGTGGTTCTTTGCTTATTGAGCGCCTTTTGTTAACGAGCGATCCTTTTTTGGCAGCTTGCGACCAGTTCTGCGAAACGTGCCATTCAGACCAGCCCGCGTGTTTGACCTGTGCTTCAGAGAAGTTGTTACATGATGGGAAGTGTGTTTCAGAGTGCCCGGACGGGTATTTCCCAAGCGGCAACGGAAGGTGCGGAGGTAAGAGGCATATTTGCGTGACCTTTTCTAAGGCTCTCGAGGCACCCTCCGCACGTTGTCGTCTTTTCCCCAGCTGCTGACCTGCGGGGAGGGAATGTTAAGAGCACAGAAGTACAAGCGGAGACAGGGAATCGGTTATTATTTTTGTTTTCTTTGGTTCGCTTGTGATAGATAGTTTTAAATAACCTCTTTGCCTTGCGAAGCATATTGAGACACGCTGAGATACGTATTCAAAACACCGTGCGAGTGAGAGTTATTACTGTTAGTAGTTATTAATACACGCGCGCTTCTGCTCTCGTTAGTTCGTGTAGCTGAATATCGTGCCAGCTGGGAGTTTTCGTTGCCGGCTGGAGGAGGCTGTAGTCAGCAACACCACTCGCAAGGAGAAAAAAACCGGGATATTTCAGTTCTGCGCGGCTCTGTTTCTTTATCAGCTTGTCATGCTTCGTGCTCCACGTGCGAGGGACCTCTGGCTACTCACTGCACCTCCTGTCCCTTTCCTCTGGCATTGCGCCGGGGCCAGTGCCTGCAGAGCTGCGGAGAGGGTTTTTACCAGGATCACGACGTCTGCAAGGGTAAGCTCGGTGCTTGGACTAAGTTCCCCAGCTGCTGTAAACCAGCGTAGCTAGATTGGCTTTTCTCGGGCTGTGCTCGGAGTACCCAGCTACAACGCTGAGCCTTTATTTTATGCCGAACCGGTCAATCAGTAATTCCTGTGTTTGCCCGCTGATTGTCTTCTCCTTTGAGAAAAGGCAAATTTTCTCAAATACTTTCTGCGTTCACACCCTCAGGATTTAGTGATCTTGGGGACCTATTTTTCCTCTGTGCTGTTGAAATAAAGGTACATTGCTTCCAAGATTTTCTTGACGCGAGTTAAGAGATGGGTGAAATTCTACACGCACCTAGTAGATTTGCTAAAACCGAGGTCGTTTTTGCAGCGATGGAAAACGTGAAAATTCAGAAGATGAAGTTATACTTCCTATGAGCCCTTCAGACTGTCATTTCTTGCTATCTCTCCTAGTGAGATAGCGTTCACCATTGCGGTTCCAGCAATTAAAGGAAAATTGACTGCCTGTGGCACAATACTGCAGGTTTTTTCCCAACCTTACTTGTTCATCAACTTTATCCAAGGAAAGAGCTGCTATTTGGGCTATGGGGGGGAAAGATGTCGAAGTATTTTCTAAAATCCCTGTTCCATTATGGAAAAATACAGCACCTCGTCTGATTATGAAACAGATTTCTTAGCTTGTGAGTTGCTGCAAAGCGTCCGCTCTTTGCCAGCTCTTTGAGTTTCAGACCGTCTGCAGCAATACAAAACTGGGAAGGGAGATGAACAAGAGCGTCCCAACCGGTGTCTTCTCCCCTTTCTTTCTCACATTTACGACCAGATGTCCAGGTTGTTTGTTGAGCCTTGTCCTTCTCTCCGAGAAAGCTCTCCTCAGAGCTGTGGCTCTACCTGCTCTCTTGTCCCGTGTGCAGGTTGCCACCCATCCTGCCGTACCTGCGTTGGCCCGGGGGCCTCTGGTTGCCTGCGGTGCAGCGTGCCAGAGGACGTACTGCAGCCTCAGCAGCCCACGGACGGACCTGTACACGGCCTTTGCCTCTCTCACTGCCCAGCTCGCTTCTACGTGGACAGCACAGGAGCCTGCAAACGTGAGTAGAGGATGGGAACGGCCGTTCAAAGCCTTCAGCGCAGGGCTGCGCTGGATTTTAGGTGTTCGGGGTGATCTTGTACGCTCTTTGATTCCTACGTGCTTTGAGCGCCTGCGTTTGCCGTGTGACAGTCATGAATGTTGAAACTCAGTAACTTTCAGAATGGCCTATACTAGTACTTTTGAAGGAAAATATACTCTACATGTAGTTTGTGACTAAAGAATTCAGGTACTTTTTTTAAAACGACCGTGTTTGAGTCTGCACAGCTTAGCTTTCCTTTCACTGAAGTCGAGAATGTGATTTTTTTTTTTTTTTTTACCACTAACTTATTTTGAAGCAGGATCAATCCTTAAATCCTTTTCAGAAAAGACTGAGCTGTCTCCTTGTTAGCCCTTGGACCAGGTCAAGACATCCCACAGCAGTCTTTTCTTTCGAGGAAGCTCTTCTGATACATGCCCTGCAGCACACGTGCCATCGCGGCCCTTGAAATACCAAGTAGGAAGAATTTCCGTGAAGGCTAGAGTTTGGAAAAGAGGTTAACGTGGTCTATGTTGGGGATATACATGGTTTCACACCGCTTTGAGAGAAAACTGTTGGGCTTCAGTGAAGAATGTTTCTTGCAAGCCAGTCCGGTTGGCCGTACAGAGCTCGGGGGAGCCGCTGTGGGCGTCTGTACAGCAAACGTATTGCAATATCTTGAAAATAATGCAGCTGGAGGCAGGCTGAGAGGGTAGACCGAGCGTCTGGTGCCAACACAGTCCGCCCTAAACCTAAGGGGAGTGATCCTTTCAGACATGGCAGTGAAAGGAACCCTGTGTGGAAAGAGCAGAGACGGGACTCTACAGCCCTTGATTTTCTCTCTTCATCTCAACGTGATGGAAAGAGTCCGTACAAGCTCTTTTTTTTTTTTTGCCTGTGGGCATCTTAAAAAAAGGAAGAAGTGACTTTTTTTTTGGTGGAATGTTTCCATCTTTAACAGCGACCTACACAGACCGTAAGGTATCCGGTCCTTTGGGTTGGTTCCTCAAGGCGTTAGCGTAGAACCTCTCCAGTCCCCGCAGTGGCCGTCCCTTGGCAGGGAAAGGGTTTTCTTGGCTGAGTCCAGGTTATGGTGTAGAAAGTGAGCGAAGAAATCTGTATACCGCTGCCTCAGCTGGGTGAACAAACCTGTGCGAACAGGCCTGAGCAGAGTTCGGCGACAGAGCTGAATTATGTCATTGGGCAAGAATGCCGGCACAGCCCCACGTGGTATTAGCTCTGCCGTATTAGTAATGGCGTTAGAATAGTAGTCTGATTTATTGCAGAAGGGTGTGAAGATTGAAGATTTCAAACTTCTGAGCTACCCCTGTAAAATACTGTCGCGAAGTTCAGAGAGGCACCTTTCTGAAGGAGTGACCCCACAACAGACGTGTGCCCTGGCTGCGTTATCTGGGCAGAACAGAAGCACGTTCATATGTAGGTGAAAATGCCGGTTTTCAGGCTTTTACCTCTGTGGTCACGAATTTCTCAGCAAACCACAGAAATATCTCTGTATTTTTCTAATGCTTGAGATGTCCCCGATGAAACTGTGAGAAATTTCTCTCTGATACGATCGGAGTCACTTGAGCCAGAGATCATCCTGGAGACGCTGCATTTGTGACGAGGATCTCTGGCTTCTCTCCCTGCCTCTCTGGCAGGCAGCTACGTGTACTTGTAGAAATCATTTCATTTCACTTCTTCTCTCCAGCCCTGTGTCTGCCTTGTCTCTCTCTGTGTTTAACGGAGACTCACACAGTGGCCTCGAGTCACTGCTCTAATAAATACCAGGTTTTTAACTGATGAGCTTATATATTTATTTATCAGATAACTTAGTTTAAGATGGCTTGTTTTAGGGTCAGTACCAGTAGAGGTGAAGAAGTCTAACGTTTCAACCGCATTCTTCGCATCCTTGTAATGAGCGTTCACTTTGCTAGCCGTGAAGTCAGGTGGCCAGCCCACCTCTACGTATATTTGCTCTTACTGCTCCAGAACGGCTGATGATAACCGCGCTGTGATGCTGGATAGACAGTCCTTCCCGGAGTAACTCTAGGGTGATAACGAAAAAGATGATTTCAGAATCTGGTAAGTTTGCAGAACCCCAGAGCTCTTGCAGGGAGAAGAACGGTATTGCACGGCGTTGTGCATCTCAGCTTTCCATTTCGCTAATGAATTGTGTGGGTGCAAAGAAGGAGTAAATATGCGGCTATCGTTGCTCCTTATCTTCCGGAAGTGCGCTACGCAGCCTTTGTACTCCTGCCCTTTCGACCTTTCGCAAGCAGAGGACCCCGTAAAAGAAAAGACCTTCCTGCCGTCACTGGGGAAGGACGTACTAGCCGTACTCTAGGACGGTAACGACGAAGATGAGCTAGAACTCATTTGGTTCTCTCTTGTCTTCTTGTTTTTCCCGTCCCTGCAGAGTGCCACTCCTCCTGCGCAGGCTGCGTGGGGAACGCTTCGCGGGACTGTACGGCTTGCCTGGCTTCCCACGTCCTGCTTGAAGGCAGATGCCTCCCCGGGTGCCCAGAGGGGCTGTTCAGCCGCAACGCTCGCTGCTACTGTGAGTGCACAGCGCGGGCACCTGCGGCTTGTACGGCTGAATTGCATCGCGCGCGCCTTTTGTAACGCGTTCCTCGACGTAATTAGAGATGCCGTCAGATTTACGTGAGGCTATTTAAGTATTTTCAGGGGAGAATAGGATAGTTCAATTTCAGGAAATGGAATCTCCTCTTAATGGCAGAGAGGCGTACACATTGAATCAGAAATTATAATCAGTTTTGCTCCTCTGGGCTGTTTCCCTGAAGATATTTTGCGTTTCGTTTCAGTAGGCTTGGATGACGATGTTAGCCAGCGCGCTGTGGCAGGAGGGGTCTTTCCTGGACGGCACTGAAGCACAGGCTGCTTTTATTAGGCTAGACAAGCATATCGTCTACATAAATTAGCTTTATTTTTAATCCACTCCTGGCAGTAGAGCTGGGGTTAGAAGGAAGGAATTCCGCGGATAGAGGAGAAAAGCCATGACTTCTGTGAATCTGCCTGATGGGTAGTGGGGACGGCGTTGTTTATTTGTGTCTCAGCCTTGCCCATCAGTCAGCAAGTGGCCTTCGTTCAGCTTGTTTGATCTCATCTAAGCAGATATCGGTGACTACTGACCTTCGGAGTGACCGCAACGATTAAATCCTCTTTGCCACTTGCAGAAAACGGGGGCCTTTGGGCCGTGCCGTGCGTTACCAGCTGCTAAGTACAGTGGGTGAAGAAATGCAGGCATTTGAAATCTGATTAGTCCCTTCAAGGTCATCTGAAAGTTGTCTGTTCCTTTACCGTAGATTCTTTGGGTCAGGCATCCGTGTATCTGGTCTGGCAGCAGGAGAAATTCACCGGTCGCTTCCCTGGGAGGCCTCAAATTTAGAGAGAGAAACCTCTTCTCAAGTCCATTGCTCTATGTATTCAATTTATTCACCCAAGGAACAGCTCTATAAATACCTTTATTTGGCAGGCCGTTGTAAAGATTCATTGATTTTCAGGTTGTGCGCTGCCACCTTAGAGCAGAGGTAACTGCTGGATGCTGCATTATGCGGTTTCAGGCTTATGTAAATGTTTTAGGGAAAAAAAAAAATTCAGTGTCAGGGAAGCAGCATCTTTCTGTATGCTGCCAGCTTAGATCTCCTGCAGTTTTTGAACAGCGAAGCTCAGTTAATACAGGTGTGTCTAGAAAATGGATTCTTTTTGTTGAGCTTTTAGGAGACAGAATAGCTGATGAGCTGGCACGGCGTTCGGGTTTTCTGGGTCTCAGTTTGGGAGGGCTTTGGGCAGAAATCGTTCCTGGATTTTCTACTCGTGAATAGCGAACCCACGCCGCTGCGGTGTTCGTACAATCCCGTGATTTTTAATTTCTCTCCCCTGTGCATCCCACTCTCTCTCTCTTATGCGCACAAGCATACGCTGGAGGGAGGAATAAAAGGGCCGATCTCTTTATATGTTATATTTTGTATAGATCTATGCCTTGATTAATGCAGGGAACAAAAAGCATTTTTAAATTGACAACTCATTTCTCAGTGTGTTTATTCAAAATGAGGATGCAAGAGCCTTCCAAACCACAACTCCGCAGTCACTGATGCTATTAGATTATTTTATGTCCGTGTTTTGTAGGAGTAAACGATTATTACAGGGGCTGGCTTTTTGGAGGGGGGGAGAGTGTGAGGTGGGCTGTACCAAGAGCATAACACCAAGTGTCGGTGTTCTTCTCCAGCCTGTCATCCGTCCTGCAAGACGTGCCGCGGCCCTTCTGCGTCGGAGTGCTTAACCTGCCATCCCCACGCCACCCTAGCCGGTGGAACGTGCAGGACTAGCTGCAAGGAGGAGCAGTATCTCAACCTGGTGGGATATTGCGTGGGTAAGTAAGAGGCGATGGCGCGGGTCACGCGGCGTGGCGATCTCTCGGTGGCGTTAACCGGCTGCTTGAGCGCGTACGGTGAAGAAATCAAAATGCCTGGTAGGAGTAAAATGTCACACGGATGAAAATACCGCGGGGGAACTCTCCGGTGCGCGCAGCATGTCACAAAGCCGCTCCTGCTGTTCGTATCTTCCTTAGAGCTGCGTGAAGCCAATTACAAATTGTGTAAGGCGGGTAGTAGGGAGAGGGAGACGAGGCTCGCCTTTGCCGGGCTTGCTGCGGCACGCTTTGGTGTGAAGGCTTGAGATCACGCGGATGGACCAGTAAGTCTGGGAATCATCAGAGCGTTCGTATCGTTATTAATATCATAACGAGCACGCTCTTCACAATGGGATGGGCTGCGGCTCTGCTCCCTTGAGTAGAGATGTGCTTGCTTTTCCCAAGGCCAAGCGCTTATCTGCGTCTTGCTCCAGTCTGGGCTTTACGGCGTACTGCTCTGCCACAGAGCCCAGCCTTGGGGACCCCGAGCCTGGGGGACCCCGAGCCTGGAGAGCTGCTTAGGTCCTGCACAGGGCTCCGTAAAGTGACTTAAGGAAATATTTGGGATTCAGAGAAGCAGTTTATGGGGCCCTAAATTAAAAATTGGCACAGCTAGCATTGCCGTGTGCGTTTTTGGGAGGTGATGGGATTTCTGTATAGGGATTGTACTTTGTTGGTGCTCGGTGCCTGCGCTTAAACCTATCATTGGAAGCCACTGATTGCATTTATCTGCTTAAAAAAGAAAAATCGCTTTTAATCGGTCACACAGACATGTATAAACATATCCTGGGAAATGCTCCAACAATTTCTGAGCTTTGTCAAGCCATTTTTTTTCTTCATCAAAAAAAGATACAGTGTGTGAGGCTTAATCTAGGCTGAATAGTTTCAAATGAGATAAGGAATCCTAAGAAAAGGGAAAAATGCATTAGACATAATAAATATATCCATTGAGAGGCTATTGTTCTCAATTTAACATAGATGATCCCCTTCACAGAGACTTCTTTTTGTTTATGTATGTGTATTGTGTGGGTTTGGGGTTTTTTTTATGAGAGACTTATTTGCTCTCCACAGATTAATTTAATGAACCATTTCTTCGTCTTCCTTTTAAAGACCAGTTATTGTTTTGTCTGCTGACAAAGAGAAGCGGGGGGGAACAAAGTATCTGAGGAGTAGGAAAATATCCTAAAAGCATTGTTACAATATGGAAATAATTCAGCATTTCCATGTAAAGAGCTCTCTCTGCCCTGTAAAATTTGAGGGGCTACAACGATACTTATTAATGTCCTGTCACCTCATAGCTGTGTGCGCTTTATTTTTTCCACCTTATTCTCCCATTGTTTTGCATTATGCTTCCTCTGAAAAAGGGCTTGTGGAAATGTGGTCTTCCAGCTGTAAATTTCATTGGAAAAACTTAGTGCCATTTCCCATAAACCCGGATTCTTTCTGCCGCTTGCTGCGTGCTTTCATTATCCCGTTCAGGCTGCTCTTAGCGGTAAGTTTGGCGAGGTGTCATGGAGCAATACGTTACGCTCCCCAGGTCCCAGGTGATTAGGTAGACGTCGCAGTGCCTGGCAGTAATGAGGAGCAGAAATTGGAAGCAGCGGGCTCACACAGGCAGTGTTTGACCTCCAGACGTGCTACGCCGACAGCGATAAATCATCCGCGGAGAACCTTGCCTGGCTTTCTGGGCTCCAGAGCAATTGCACCCTGGCGATGCATCCTTTCCTTGCAAACTAGCGGGCTTTATTTTGAAGCCCTGAAGGTCATGAACACGGTCCGTGGAAATCTGGAGACTTTTCCAAGTAGAAACATGTGTTCAAGGCTTGGTTAACTGTGCCTGGCATCACTTGGGTGTCGATGCCTTCGCGCGGCCAGTGCAGATACTCCTCGCAACGCAGGAACCCTTGCTGTTCACGCAGCTCTGCACGTAGATGCATTGGTGTTTCTTTGTCTAACTGAAGTTTTGAAAATCCTTGTAGAGGAACATAGTTATTTGTTGCCTTGTTTAAAAAAAAAAAAAAAAAAAAAAAAAGTCGTGCTTTGGTCTCAGATCTGCAGTCTGAAGTGCGTTGCTCTTTGTGCCAAATTTATCTCTGATGTTTACGCAAAGGACGTGCGTTGCCAGTTCTGCTAGAGGTAAAGAGCTCCACGTCCAGGTTGTTAAATTTCACTTGTTCTTCTCATTCAGCAGTGACTGAAATGCTAAATTTGCCCTTGCAAGTTATTAATTACCAGTTAAAGAGCAGCTGTCCCATAAAAGAGAACATTAAACCCCCTGACACTTATATAATATAAGATTTGCATCCGAATCTAACAAAGCTTTTTCCTTTGCTTCCCAAAGCAATATTTTTTTACAATTATCCTCCTCTTAATTCCCGACCCTCCATCGAGTCTCCGGTCTTCTGCGGTCTGTGTTTTCCCAGTTCAAAAACACTCTTTGATTTCTCTCTCCCTCTTCTCCAAGACAACTTCAGCGTCAGGAAACGTTGCGATCAATGCGTGATAGCACTCACTTTTCTGATCTGAATCAATCATACGCCTGTCTTGAGGCTCCCTCGTTGATCTTTTCCTGACTGGGTGGAAGGGCAATTAGAAAAACGCAGAGGAAAGAGTTCACAGACGGAGCTCTGCCGGATGCTCAGCTGAGGCGTAAAAGGCCTACCTTCCGGAGTGAGCAGCAGGGGCGGCCGGCCTGAAATGAAAATCAAAACACCCGCTGATACAGCATCCCCCGAGGTCCTGTCTTGACTTCCAGCTGCATCTCCCTTGACAGGGAGCTCCCAGTCCCCGTGCTCAGCTGCTCAGGCCCTTCCTTTCTCGGGCTGCGTGCGGTCATGAAAGGGTTCGAAGATAAACCAGAAGAGCTTGCTCAGGAGGGTGCCTGTAACGAGCCCTTCTGCCTCCCTCTTCAAATTGCAGAGGGGACACTCTGACAACGAGAAATACATGCAGCTCCCTGTAAAATTAATGAGCTGTTGCCGTACTCTTAGAGAGACGTTGATATCACCGCAAAGAGCTGGAGTAGCTTTGAGCAGAGCCAGAGGAAAACTGGGGGCTTTGCTCCACCTAGTCGCTGGTCTACAACCTCCTATGGAAACTGAGAGCTGAGCTGCCAGAGGAGCAAAATGGAAGGTCGTTTCCCTGCGTTGCTCTGGGCTCATTTGTGCCAGGCACCGTCCAGCTGGATTTCCCACCTTACGGTGCCTAGAGAAGCTCCCGCCCTTTTCAAAAGATGCAGGCACATCCCTGCAAACGTGGTTGCACTTCACCGGGAGTTATCGTGGATTCATAGAGTGGTTTGGGTCAGAAGGGACCTTAAAGATCATCTAGTTCCAACCCCCCTGCTGTGGGCAGGGACACCCTCCACTGGACCACGTTGCCCAAAGCCTCATGTGAAGTTCACCTCACTTTTCGCCATGACAAATTCCCTTCTAGGTCTTTTAAGGGAGACGGGGGGAAAAAACCCCACCCAACCAACCCTTCCAACAACCGAATCAAACCAGAACTCCTGGTCAGAGCTAGGTGTCCTTCTGAATCAACCATACTGATCGTCTTTCTGGATTTACTGTAAGGTGCTAGAGGACGTTTGCACGCTGACGTGCCTGTAAATGGCATGGCGTTTTAAGTACTGATTTAAAGTAGCGCTCTGTTGTAAACCTCCTACCTTACCTTCGAGTATAGCACAGAACTTGCGTCAGGAAATTTTTTTCTGAAGAGCCCTTAAGAGGGGCGGCGTATTTAAACATTGCAAGTGGTTGATTGCTTAACAAATGGTGGAACCGAGGGGTAGAAATGCCGCTGGTTTCCTTTATGAGCGTTCACAAACACTTCAGAGATAATTTTGTCTCCCCAAACAGCCTTCTCTGTCTTGACAGGCATGGCAACAGTATATACTAGATACTTTCCATATAGGAAGGGCGCTATTTTCTTTGTTTTCTTTGCTTGCTAAGAGAAAGCTAAAGAGGGCGTGGAGGTAAAGCAGCTCTGGAAATGGACATCGGGGTAAGTAATTACACACCACCTTACAATAAAAGTTGCTTTATAGGAAGATCAGCGATAGGTAAGGTGGATTGTGGGGGTTTTTTGCCTAGAGGTGAGTTGAGAAGGGGGGGAATTAGAGCCGGCCGAAAGGGTAGCAGGGAAAAGTTTTGTTGGGGCAGTGGGAGGCAAGTCAGTAGCCTCAAACAGATGAGTAGGGAGGCACTGGGACTACCAGCAAGGTGGTGACGTGCTGCCCTGAAGAATCCAGTTTGGATACTGGAAGAAGTCTAAGGGAATTCAGGAAGCGTGTTGCACTGCCCCGCGCCAGACACGTGACGTGAAGCCGCCGAGAATCCCAAGCCCGCAGGCGGTAACTTCCCCGCCAGCCGAGCTGGAGTCAGGATTGACGGGGAGAAGGCAGAAGCGGGAAGCAAATACGGCTGCGCGGTATCGTCGAGGAGCTTAAAGAAAACACTCCGCTTCAGTTAGTCCTTGCTTCAAAGGGAGCCTGCTGTGAAAAATTTAAATAATCTTTTCCAAAACAAAGCGCTTCGGTTCCTCCTTTACTCTCTCACTAGTTCCCCAGTGTCCCTCAAATTCACCATGAGCGTCAGTTCTGGGTTTTTATCTGGTGTGGCGTGCTCTTTGATCTCCAGGCTTGCAAAGGAACGAGAGAGTGATGGGGCTGATTTATCCTAAAACAGTAGCTGAGAAAAAGAACTCTTTCGATACACAGGAGCAAACATAGAGGCTGTAAAGAGAAAACTCTACAGCACCTGGTTTTGTAGATACTTAGCTTTTTAAACGTTAGTTTGGGAGAGTCTAGTTATTTACAGTAGGTACTGGTTATTTGGACACCCTAAGTTTTCTCCGTCTCATTTTTCCGCTCTGTTTATGGAACCCGTTGCCCGTATGCAGCGAGTTTGGTTACTTACTATGTCTGGCCAAAGCTCTCTGATAGAGACCAGTAGCCCCAGCAAGACGTTAAACTGGAGGAGTATTATTTTAACAATATGGGGAGTAAATGTATTGCCAGGTAGACGTGGAAGCATGAGAAACTAATGGGATTTGTGTTAATTTTATTGAACATAAGTGCATAAAACTCGTCACCCCCCCCTCCAGCCCCGTGCATACAAATTACAGATGGTGCTCAGGGCCTTTTGGATGACATCCGAGTCCTTCCTTGCTCTCTACGGCGAGCTGCGTGTGATCCTCTCTGGCTTGAGTGAGGCTACAGATAGATGGCAAGCCTTTCCGGTCTGATGGCAGTGGAGGTTTGGGATCTTTGGCCGTGAAGATGTATGGGATGATGCCTTGGGTTTTCCTCCCGTGCAGTCAGAAGCTGCGATACGATAACCCCACTAAGCTGTAGTTTAGTTTTGAGGTTTGTCGCTGAGTTTGGGAGCGTGACCTCATGTGCTGCTTTTCTTCTCTTACCACCGTCCCGGCAGCGGTGGATTGAGAACCTACAGGGTGACTGTCTCAAGCATAACGTTTCTCCTCGCACACCTTCACCTCCCCTCCTCTGGCTGTTGATTTCCCATCTGCAAGGTTGAGACCGTGGGGCAGAAACTAGATAGGTTCTATACCTTGTAAAGTCAGGAGGCGAAGGAGGCATCAGCTTTAAGGAACCTGAATCCCTGCCCGCAGTCAGAAGCACACTCACTTCTGAGCTGCGTCTGTCCTTCTCCACCACCGTTTGGTAAGAGTCGTCTACGTGTAACATAGAGAAGTCAGGCCTGGGGGAGGCTCCCGTCGCTATTACGTTCTCGCAGGTACGGATGCAGAATTCCCCCAGACTCCGACGCGAGCCTGTCTTCGGCTTGTAAAACTAGATTGCCCGACAATCCATAGCAATGCTGTCACAAGAGACAAAAGACAGAAAGTTGAACCTTCGGTAGAAATCTGACAAGAGGCCAGGTACTCAAATCAAGCCTCATTATTACATGTCTTTCAAGACAGTCGCCATTTCCTTTATAATTTTCTGAATTACCATAATGAGGATTAATTTGACTTCCAGGTTCCCTTACGCTGCACTGTTGTGCGTACAAAAGGCTTGTTGTAAAACCTTTTGAAGCGCCTAAGTTCAGGCGGAGGTCAGGAGACCCGAGCTGGTGTGCTGCTGGGGAAAAACGAGAAAAGGAAAAGGTTTTGAGGCACTCTCCTGCAACAGTCAGTGCTGCCCTTGGCTGGGCTCGAGGTCTGCTGCGGCCTCTCCAGGGTACGGATGTCTCGTTTGTGGGGGAAAATCTGAACGGTAAGAACTACGGGAGAAGGTCATACGGCCGTACGGGTTGTGCTCTCTTCCTTTTTCACCGGTGGGAGCAGAGGGAGGTGAATGCCTACAGCTGCCAGCGCAGTTTGTTAAAGATAAACCTGTACGTAGAAGCACCTAAAATCAGCGAAAGGTTTGGGGAAAGCGAAGAGCTTTGAACCGGCTTTGTACAAAGCTTTCCCAAGCTCGCTTAAGGATGGGAAAGAGGATGCTGGAATGGGGCAGGAGAGATGCGGAGAACGCGGCTGCTGAGGAAAAGTGAAAACGTTGTGATGCTCGGGAAGAGGACGAGATGGGGATGAGGGCAAGAGGAGAGGAACGCTCCTCGAGCGCGGTGATTCCCGGTCATCTCTCCTGCAGACACCTGGACACGCAGTATTTAGCACCCGATCCCAGCCCTTGCGTAGCAGGTAGCAGGAAGGGGCTCCGAAAGTCCCGTCCCTAATGTCTTCCTTGAGTCCTCAGCAATGCGTTTCCCCTCAGCGGTCCTGTTTGGTCCATCTGCGATCACGTTATTCCCTGCTTCCTTTAGACTGCCACCCTTTGTGCCGTCAGTGCGTGGCCAACCTGCGGGACACCGGCAGCATCTGCCTCGAGTGCCAGAACGCCCGTCACTTGCTCCTGGGGGATCACTGCATTCCTGACTGCCCGGTGGGATACTACGCGGAGAACGCCGCCTGCAAAAGTGAGTAGTCCCTAGAGATGCCTCAGGTAGCTGCAAGGGACCGCCTGGATCCTTGCAAGATGTTCCACGAAACGGTTCTTATTTAGCAGAGAAGCTTTGTCCAGCTGGCAGGACAGTGCGCTGGGAGCTGGAGATGTCCTTCCCGGCTAACAGCCCTGCCAGCTGGCTGGGAGCACGCTCTCCTCGCTCCCGTGATCTGTGTCTGCTTTCTGACCGTGAGCTCTTGGAGGCGGACAGTGCTGTCCTGTTGTCCTGAGCACATGGCGAGGCCACCGGGACCTAGCCCGCTTTACACTACAATTAATCAGTGTAACGAGTACCTCGTGAGGAGGAGGCGAAGGTGAGTTTTTCTTTTTCTCTCTGGTTAATCCCATCTGTCAAAGGCGGTGGCACAGCAACCAGGATGACGGTACGCCGTGTTCTCTGTAGGGTCGCTACCCTGAGATCACTCCTAGGAAGAGATGGGCGTCTTAAGCACAGGAAGGGATAACTTCAGGCAGAGGCTTTTCGTGTGCCCATCACCAAGTGTCCGATTTGTGTGGTACCAGCACGGTTCTGGGATGCTAACGCTTGAAAATACTTTCTGGATATGTGCTTCGAAGAGCCGTGCAACTCCTGCTCCGAGAAGGCAGGACTCTAGCTGGTAGCAACTTCTCAGGAAGTCTGCAGCCCGGGACGGGACACCGTCCTAGCTGAGGTCTCTCACTGAGACTTGTCTTGCCACAGTAGTGGTCCAAAAGGCGATCGCTCGTAGCAGCGTCTGAAACGAAAAGCCGATTTCATTCAGCCTTTTTGGCTGGCGTGCTCCAGCAGTGTGCGGGAAGCTGCACTGATAGCACATTTTATTCTCGAGCCTTCTGTGCCTTCACCTATCCCCGGATCTCCTCCAGTTTTTGCTGTTGATGTGGTTTCGTATTCCGATCGTTGTCTGAGCTGCTTTATATTTCTTGGGACTCTTAGAAGGAAGTAGGTTGCTTTTCTTGTTATGCGGCCAACAGAGACGTGTTAAAGCCCAACGCGCTTGCGCTGAGCAACGGGCATTGCGGTTTATTTTAAGAGAAAGAAATGAAGACAAGAAATTCAGGGTATTAGAACTACGAGGTAGATGCTCCTTTTGCAGGAAATGGCATTTCCTAATCCAGTCTAACCACCGACGGTTAATGTTTCAAAGCTCCTCTCGAGCACTCCGGAGCTGTGCGTTTATTTACCTGGTTTTGACAAATGAAATCTCAGAAGCGTAGGTGTCATTTAATTGGAGAGACCCCTGAGAGAGATATTTTGCCTTCCACCAAAATTTAATCCTAGGGATAACGTTTCTTCCCTTTGGTGTAAAGGTTTGACTTAAAAGAAGTTTAGCATTATTCAGACTGTGTCAAAGCTCCTCTTACATTTTGTGCTAGCCTTGAAGGTCTCCAGCACAGCGTAATGCAGTCGCTTCTCTGATTTCTTTGCCCACTTTCACTCATCGTTAGTTTGGCCTGATAGCTGTAATGATGGCATCAATCCTTAGGTAAAGGCCTATCAAGAACTACACCAGACTAATAATTGCGTGACTATCTACCCCCTTTGGAGAAATCACCAGGATACATTGGCCTCATCCACGGTGGTGTTTTAAATCCGCTCAGTCAGACTAAGCAGCACAAGAAGTGGGGGACGAAGGGATGGAAAGGAAACAGGGAAAGAAAACAAGAGGAGTGGCATAAAAATAGCTCTTCAAAAAAGCAGGGCAAGAAAAAGATAGTGATGTACTTGCTTACTCGAGGCAGGCGGAGGGATTGCTGGCTATGAAGCGTTGCGGAAGGATCTTGTAGGGACCGCGTGTCCGGGCAGTAACGCGAAAGGCGTGGGTTTGTACGGGCAGAGGTACCGATGCATGCAGCGGTACCCGGCTCCAACCTCACGTACAGAATGATGGCATCCTTGAAGTACCGATCGGTCATCAGCCCGTGGAAACGGCATCCAAGCGTTCGGCGACGTTGAAAAGGCAAGTCAAATGTTTAGTGCGTTTCATCGGTCTGTGCCAAGCCGGGCTGGCTGTGTTTCTGCTCCGCAGCGCTCCGCACCACTGAGGGCTTAGACTTAGTAGGAACTTTTGGTGCTCAGCATCACCGTGCTCTGAGAGTGCTTCTGCTCAGCCTTGTGAAATGTGCTCCAACATCTACTTTTCCTTCAACAGAAACTCTTGTTCTTGCTGTCTCTGCAGGGTGCCACCCCTCATGTAAAACCTGCACGGGCGAGGGTCCTTTGTCCTGCTCTTCCTGCAACGCCAGCCTGGTTCTCTCCCACACCGGCGCGTGTGTGCCGGGCTGTTCCCCGGGGTACTACAGGGACGACAGGCAGACCTGCAAACGTGAGTGTCTCTCTCCAAGCCGTTTCTCCTTCCCACGATGCCTTCACCGACATGCCTTTTCTTGTTCCTTCCTCTTGCCGGGGAAAAAAAAAAAAAAAAAAAAAGATTTCAAGTGCTTAAAAATTCGATGTGAGTTGACAGCGGTGATTAACTGCCTTGGAAACAGAGCCTTCAGCGTGGTTTGAATTTGAACACAGTTGCAGTTTTGTTATCGACTTCAAAGGCGAGAGGCTTTGCGTCCCGTAGTAAAAATCTGCAGGGGAGTTTGTGTAGGCTTCCTTGTTCAGTTATCTGGGCAGGACGTAGAGAAGCGGCCAAAAGCGCCGATGGATTCTGGGCTTGGTGAAAACTTGACGAGTTCAGACCAGTTGTAACCAATTCTTACAAAGGCAGCCCCCCTCCCCGCTCTACGACCTGCCCGTACCCGCCACGGACGCCGTATTAAGACTGTAGCATTTACGCGACGTTTTTCCACGTGGGAAGCCTCAGTAGAAAGAAGGTCCGGTGTGGTTGGCACGGCCCCGACCGGCGTGGGCTGCGATATTTTTACCTCCTAATGATCTGATGTAATCGATCTGGTGTCAAGTCCAGCGATGCTTTATCCTGCTCCTGCTATCCCTTGCGAATCTCGCGGGGCCCCTCTTTTATTATTTTGCGTTGGCTCCGGCCCTGACGTCGGTTGGGTTACTCCTCATGTGATTATTGGCCTTGATGTTCCAAAACGCGAAATTATATGGCCCAGAGACATAAAAAATATGAAAAAAAAAAACCCAAACCTTTTTGAATTGACCCACTATAATACACACACCTAAAAATGAGTGAGTGCTTAAGTGGTTTGGTTGCTGTGAACCTGAACGCTCAGCTTTGTGAAGTCTTGCGTTACCCTGATTGAAATTATCCTGATTTATGATAAAATAACCCTGTTGCACTGCACCGAGTGTAGGTATCAATGTCATCCTATCTAGACCCGATGTCTTTACTGATGAGGTCCTGCAGGAGGGACCTGGTGTGGTTGTCAGCTTTACCTGCCTTTTGTTGAAATATACGGTTCTCCCGAAACTATTATTTCCATTTTATGAGCAGAATTGGAGACAACTTGCATAAGTCCAAGGAAATAGGTGGGAGACTTTGTTCCGTTCTTCCCTTGACAGAAAAAAAAGGCTATTCAATAATAATGAAAAAAAGGAAAGTAATGAAAAAGATGAATAAAACAAAGGAATCATGGGATTCTCATTGGCTAGTTGCCTACAAGCTCTCCAAGATATTCAGTGTTCTCTCCTCCCTACACCGGAATACCTCCCTTCCTCGTAAAGATGTCCTTTTCTAATGAAAACTTTCCTTTTTGATAGCTCCTCTCTCAGGACATCATGGTAGAAGTGGAACGTTCCTGAGGACTGTACCCTTCCTGAATTTGGTTCAGTAGCTCAAATGCAAATAGATATTTTATTTTATTTTTTTGGCAAGCAAATTCAACTACTCTAATCTCCTTATTGCAAATGGCTTTTGAAGAAGTGTACGTAATCCTTGTGGCAGGAGGCTCAAGACAAAGTCTGTTGGCGCGCCGGATTTTTGTCATTCCGAGCGTCACTCGTGCCTTTTCAAGTGAAGTACTGCTGATAAGCCGCGTAGATAGAAACTGTCCCAGGCTCCTGGCAAACTTACCGCTCAGAGGTAATGAAAATTGAATAAACGGAGGTTGGCTGTTAGGCTAAGCAAATTTGGTCTCTCTTCAACGTTTATCGGAGAGGCGTTGCACTTTTGAGGAGCTCGGGTTTGGAATGAAGTTCAGCGAGATGCTGAGGGCGTGCGCGGACTCTCGGAGGTGTTTTTAAACTCGGTGATGTTACGGGCCGAGGAACCAGTGCGAAGCTTAGCAAGTTCTTCGTGGGTTTAAAAATGCAGAGACGGAGTCACGCTGATAAAACGAGCAGATAGGATTGCTTTCAAATACAAGGTTTTGCTTACTGCTCTGGCACGCCTCTGTGGGTAACCCCGTTTCTATAGATTTACACCTCGCATGGAACGTTTTACCACGCTTTTAAGAGTTGGCTTTTCGTAGCACTTACAACTAGTAATTTTTCCATGTTGTATTCTTAAGTGAAGCGAACTCCGACTGGCACCAGAGCACCTAATAAGACCAGCTACTAGATTCTTTAGGTAATCATTTTGTTAGAAATCATTTGAACCTCACTAACATGCAGACCTTCTCTGAGATTTTTTTTTTAGATGAGCTAAAACAAGTAACTATTTTGAAGGGCGCTGGGTTCTCGCTTCAATGAGAGCAACATGGGTATTGTCACATTTACTCCGGTATTTTGAGGTTTTGTGGTTATAAAACTCTGCCTTGAATTAAAAGCAAATTAAGTATTAATTAGCATGTCACTAAGTTAGCATTCCACAATTAGCATATCACCCTGGACATCAAAGAGGTGAGTTGAAATAGTCTGAACCTCTGGACTTTGATCCTAGATTCAGTAAATCCCTGAATTATTTTTTTCCCCGGCGTCTTTATTTGCTCCCCGCAGCTCCAAAAATTCACGCTGCGTGCACATGAAAAGGTGGAAACGTTAAGCGGAATGAAACGGGCCGTTGGTCCCACCGAGGTTTGCTAACCGGATTAGTCTACCGGGGTCTCCAAATTTGCGTCTTCATGAGTTAAGCCTGGAATCATATGAAACACAGGTTCCTTAAATAAATAAGCAAATCAGAGACAGGGAAAGCTCTTATTTGGGGGTTTGAATTCAAGGTGAGTGTTTTACCCTGACCTTTCCAGAGGAGGGTAAGAAGCGGCGTGAGGAGACGTAACAGTCTGTTCCAAAGGGAAGGAGGCTTTTGACATTTTGGCGGCTGTGAAAAGGAACATAAGCAGCCAAAACTCTGAAGCCTCCGCGGGTACCTCTCCAAGAGGAGTCGCGAAGCTACAGGATAATACCATTTTGAGTCGTACAGTTGGCTGCTGCATCGGTAATTACAGTTATTTTCTTTATCTTTGTCTTCCCGCAGCTTGCAACAGCCAGTGCCTGAGCTGTGAATCAGCCGCCGGCTGTACGTCTTGCCGAGATCCCGCTAAGGTCCTGTTGTTTGGAGAATGCCAGGACGAGACCTGCGCTCAGCAGTATTATCTGGATTTTTCCAGCAAGACTTGCAGAGGTGAAAAACACGTTGCTGGTTTAAAGAAAAAAAAAAAAAAGGAAAAAAAAAAAAATTGCAAGTGCCTTGGCTAAGGACAACCCGCGAGGTTGCAGCGTGATCTGTGCGGGTGGCCTGCTTTAAAAGGGGTGTACGGCGGGGGGACTCGTTCGGTGACAGCCTGCTCCCGAGGTTTTTACAGTTTTTTCTCTTTTTCGGCAGTCTACTGCCGAAATACTTCAGCCTTTCAGTGAAACGAGATGATTGCAAATCCTTCTCTTGCAAATGATTTAGTAAGCGAGCCAGCAAACTTTTCAAGGGTCAGGTCCGGCAATTCGTTCAGTCGTGGGTCAGCTGAATAACGCGTGAGCTCACCAGCCTGAATCTCTTCGAGAGTGTTTACAGGCCCTCGTGTACCTCCCGGCTCCTCTCCGTCTTAGTAAATACTGTGTCGCTGGATGACTGCAGGAACAACAGTTTGGAGTGATTTAAAGGATGCGTGACTCGAAAGATTTCCAGAACTCCCAAGGAGAGTGTTCCATCATGGAGATCAGGGAGGATAACGTGGCTTTACTGCAGCTAAGACCAGGATATAATAGAAGTGACTTGTTGTTCAGTGGTCATTTCTAGCTGGCGCTCTCAGTGCTTCAGCCTGGCTTAACTGAGCCGCATCTGTGCCCTTAACATTGCGGCTCTTCAGAGAGGTGACGTTGTCTGGTGTTTAGGGTGTCGGAACGGGGCAGGACTCTTGTCCTGGCTCTGTCTTGGACGTGCTGCATGGACTGGAGCAGTTCAGCTCACCTCACTGAGTCCTTATTTCCCCCCGCCCTCTTCCTCTTGCCCCTTTGTCTGTCTGGTCAGCCCAAGTGTGTCCGTCATTAATTTCTGATCCCGACCCTCTCAGTGCTACCAAGAAACCAACAGTAGCGTTGGCAGCTTGAGAAGTCCTTGGGCACGTGTGCGTGGTTGGGGCTCGTCGGCCGAAGACTGGAGGGGAGATGGTGGAAGCAGATCTGATCCCAGCTGGATCCACCGGGTTTCTGGCCCGTGGACTTTCCAGGGGGACATTTGGACTGTGAGGGACAAGGATTTCATTTTCTTTCGGTTATTCGAAAGCGTGAGATTGATGAAGCAGGGTGGATAATTGCTAATGAGCAACAAACTCAGCGTTGGCAGAAGAGGAGCGTTGCTACTTATGGGATAAAGTCAGGCTCTACGGGCAGCCAAACTCTGCCAGCGCTAGCAGGCCCACGTGCTGCACAAGAGCCGAGCCTGCTCGCATCCAACATAGAACATGTGAAGTCCGAGAGGGGGGAAAAACCCCACCCATTTCTTGAGTTGTAATAAGCCACTCAGTACAAATCATGCTTGCCTTTTTTTTTTTTTTTTTTTAGTACCTCTCTAACAGGTTTTACTGTGCTCTTTGCTCTTAGGGCTTCTGTTCCCATAGCTTGTAGACCCCACGTGCTAAGCACTCGTATAGGGTGAGCACCCCAGGAAGGGCTGCCCTGCACCGACTTTTTTTTCTTCCAGAGTGTGACTGGAGCTGTAATGCTTGTAAAGGTCCCCAGAGCACCGACTGCCTGCAGTGCATGGAGGGCTACGTTCTCCACGAAGGAGCTTGCGTGGAACGGTGCCCTGCAGCCTTCTACAAGGAGTCGGACACATGCCAGAGTGAGTTCTTCCGGAGCGTTACTTCTCATTACCGCTGGCAAAACGTTTCCCCGCTTGTCTGCAGTTTGTGCACGTCTTGCGTTCAGCAGGAATTCGGCGCTCTAACTTCAGATCTCTTGCTGCCCTCCAACGCAAACACGTGGACAACGGGGCTGCGGTTCCCGCGGGGTGTTACACCTGAACTCTTTACATTTACGACTTTCAGGGTGCGATCCGCACTGCCTCCAGTGTCGCCGACCAGATGAGTGCAGCCTTTGCCGAGCTCCCTTCTTCCTCTTGGACACCCATTGTGTTGGCAAATGCGGGAAGCGATATTACGCAGACCGCGCACGGCGAAAGTGCACGGGTAAGCAAAGCGAGCGTGATGTCGGGGAAAGGGACCGGGGTCGTAGTCCGTGTGCTATACGCCGCTTTTTCTCTCCAAGGCTGAGGTGAAGAGGAAGTGCTTAGATGCTGGGTTAAACTTGCTGCTGAGGTGACGCGGTGCCCTGAGAATTCGCTAACTGTGTCTGCATTCAGACGTACCGAATTCGGGAGGAACGAGATCTGTTGTCGATGGCTTCTGGGGTGGGGGGGGTGTGTGTGTATATGCGTGTACACACTCTATATGAATAAACAGGTCGTTTTTAAAAAGGTTTCAGTTGTATTTGTGGGTGAACAAGCTGTGTAGGACTTGAATTTGGAGTACTTTTTTCAAAGTGGTATAACACTTACTTAAAACCCTATTTCTTCCGTTTGGAAGATCGTCTCAGGTTCTCTGTAGTCAGTGGGACAGTGGTCAAATGAGGAAAGAACTTGTTAACAACTCTTTTATCTCAGCATTTTGCCCCCGCTTTCCGACTGGTTTTGCCGGGTAGGTAGGACACAAATAGCAGCGGCGTTTCTGTTCCGATGCCCGGGACAGCTCTGCGCACCGGCGGCCGCGTTGGTTTTTTGCGGTGTCTCAATGGGGTTGTGCTTTCCGTCCGATTCAGCTTGTCCTCCTGGGTGCCTGGAGTGTGACAGCGACAGCCTGTGCCACCTCTGCGACAGCACCACGTTTCTGAAGAATAAGATCTGTGTTTCTGCCTGTGGCCGGGGTTTCTATGGCAATACACGGACCAGAGAGTGTGAAGAAGGTGAGCGTCTCTCGCGACAAAGCGCCCGAGCTGGCGGGCTTCCGGCAGATTTTAAGGCCAGGAGTAGGTGTTCCTTCAGTGGCATTTTTGGAATTCAGTTTTGCGCAGTTTGGAGTCGACCGTTAGAAGTCGGCAGCTATTTTCCTCCAGCTTTTTTGTCTCGTAAAATGCGCACGGAGGTGGTTTGCTAAGCGAAGGTACCTCGTTAGGCTTGGAGGCACGTCTTTCCAATCGCAGCATCGTTTATCGTCGATGTAAAACAAATGAAAAAAAATCTCTTGGGGGAAATCGCTTACTAAATCAACTGTGGCACTTGCTTATCTTTTCTTTGTTCTAAACGAAGCCTCTCAAAATCATAGCGGGGATCGGGATGGATTGCAATTCTTCTTGGGGTAGCGGTTGTCCCCCCAGGTCAGTAACGAACAGGGCGTTAGAAGGGTCTGGTCCGTTATCCAAAAGATGGTAGTGACAGGCGAGATGCTAACGCAGCCCGTGCCTGTAATTCATTCAGTAACATTTCTCCTTTCTTTCTTTTTAGCCGGCGAGCATCCCTTGAGCTTCCACGTGAACGGTACCCTCGCAGTGGGGATTGGCGGGGTGAAGCCCCTAGACCTCTCCTTTCTGGGCGTGCGTGACCTGGACGGTGACGCGGAAGAGCTCTGGTTCCATATCGACAGCGCTCCCTCCAACGGCAGGCTGGTGATGGCCGTGGACGGGAAAGAGGTGCAGCTGAGCAAAGGCGACCGCTTCAGCTCCAAGGATGTGAAGGAGAAGAGGGTCCGCTTTGTGCACAGCAAAGAGAAATCCAGGTGACTCTGGGGAAACTTTTTTGAGAGCTTTTGCCTTTAAAAAAATAAAAGACGTATCTTGAGAACGGGTATTTCCTTGCTCCTTGGAAACATTCTTAGAGTGAAGCACACTTCTCACAGCTGCTGAATAAATTACTGATGTACTTACACGGTACCGGCCGTAAATGATGGTGCAGAAGTGCTCTATTTATGGTACAGGAGGTGACTGTCATCCAGCTACCAAACCTGTTGTGCTTTGGGGGTGCAGGAATCCCTCTGATCTTTAGGATACTCTGCTGGGGGTTTAAAACTGGCGTATTAGTCTGGCTCTTAGAACGATTTCTTAATCCAGTCAGGAAGATGCTCGCGTGACGTCAGCGCTATGCTCTGCGGCACAATCTGCATTCAGCCATTACTGCTTAGCCTGCGCTGTGAGCCCTGTTAGTGTCCTGGGATAATTAGCGGTGATTAGTAGTTGGCAGTGCTCACGCTGCAAGCATGTTGCAAGGAAGCGGATTTTTCCTGCTGCCAGGCAATAAGCCATCCTGCCAAATTTCACGCTTGATTTACATCACCATAAAGCCTTGGGACTAGACTCATCTCAGGGGAATTGTTCTACGTTTCTGCCCGTTTCTGTCAGGGTGTTCTTTGATCCGTCGTTTTCGGTAAGACTTTCAGGGTGTCCTCCTGATGCCAAGGGTTAGCTCACGCTCGCTCGACCTGGGGTACGTGTTTCTGTATCGTGCTTTCTGTTTTGTCTGCCTGGTAGTCACGGTGGAACGTCGGGGGGTCTTGTCTGGAGAAACATAGCTCCTTCACGCTCAGCGTCTTTGGGTGGCGTTACTGAAAAGTAAATGGGAAGCAAAAATGCTGAAAAGTGGGAGCTTCTGGTCCGAAGCCAGATAAGTGACATTTTTCTTGAGCACTGACTAGCTGACATTTAGAATAGGCACTTTATCTTGGCGATGCCATCCTGTGTGGGTAGATTGTTACGTAGTTTAAGGGATTTAATTGCCTGTTGTGACTGTTGTGAATCTTCAGGAAAAAATACTGTAAAAACGTAACTGGAAAAACTTGAGCTAAAGCTTCTTTCGCTAAGCTAGTCGTTTTTACTGAATATGTAATATTTTTATCATTATTGAGTCCTGCAAGAGCACTTCATTAATTTATATTATCCTGTATTTTGGCTTGTTGGGGACTTGTTTAGGAAAGGACGGTTTTCCTTGAAGGTCAGCGATCAACAGTTCTTCTCCCATCCTGAGGTCGTCAACATTCAAGCATTTTCAACCCAGGTAATGTGACAAAGCTGGGAAACAGCCACAGAGTTTGTACCGTTTGGAGCCCTGGTTTCTTGCAACGGTAACAAGGGAGCTGGGCAGAACTTGAGCTGGAGTTCAGGTTAGGCGGATGAGACTCGACTCGCGCTTAGTCGAGAGGCGGCCAAGAGTCACGTGGAAGAACTGGACGTGGGGTGAGTGACTGAAGAAGCTGGCCCGGGTAATTTTGCTTGTGCGGGGAATTGTAGCTGTGCAATCATAGAGCAATTATCGGCGAGGACTGAGGAGTCCCTACGGTTCAAATTGTTCTTTGGATCCGCGGATGGTCTAGTTCAGTTCACTGCAGGGCAATCGAACGGTGATTGATCCCTGTGGTAGGATGCTTTGACAGTCAAGAGCATTTACTTAAATGCTCTCTTCTAGGACAGTTGGGAATTCAATCAGCATGAGCTATTTAAAGCGCGTCTCTTAAACCGCTCAATACTTCTCAGCGAGTTGATGGTACTGTCAAGTGTCCGTGCCTCTCGTATTATTGTGATTTCAAGTCTGTAGCACGATAGCGGGTAGGGGCCTCACCCGAGAGATGGTGTTACAGGCGCCGTGTTCCCGACTCCTTTTCCAGGGCGGGCTCTCCGAAAGGTGAGGTATGAAGAGGTGTGCGAGACGCACCTTAAGGGAGAGGGCTCAGCGTTTCACAACGGAGGAGTCGTTCGAGCCCAGCCTAGCTGCGGGTGCCATGCTCAGCCTATCAGCAGGTCACATCATCGTGTCCCTGCGGGCGGGCTTCGATTCCCGCTCGAGCTACAGGTGTTGCTGGGATGCTGCTGGGAGGGCAGTGGATGCGATGGAGCTGCCCGGGCCAGCGTCCCGCTTGCCGCTGGGCGTGCTGGCAGTGAGTTCACCCTGCACTGACTTTAACGGGCTCCGGGCTTCCAAGGAGGCTTTGCAGCCTGCGCTGAGCTTTGCCCGCAGTCGAACTGTCTAGCTGAAAGCTGGCTCACATAGCTTTGCTTGAACTGAACTTGTTGTGGCTACTTGGCATATTCCAGTGGTATAAAGAGACTTTAAAGTGCAAATGAGGTTCTCCTACTCTTAAGGCCCATCTACATCCTCGGAAGGGCATTAAATGGCTTGATAAAACTGTAACTGGAAATCTGGCTATCATCCTTCCTCGCGGAGTGCCGCGAGCCTGACTCAGCGTCCATCCTCGCAATGAGTCATTTAAGAAACGCGTTTCTTGGAATCGTCGCGGTGGAGGATGGGTTTGCGTCTGAGGTCGCGGGTGCTGTTCCGCGCTTCACGCCGAGTGCAGCAGGAACGTAGCCAGCAGCTCAAAAACATGGTGATACCACGCCGGGGGCCTCCGCTTTAATGTACTTAGTGTTCCTTTCAGGAAACAGCTCCTCCTGAGATGCGTAATTCTGTGGTTCTCTGACAATCTAGAGACTTTGCACTGCTTGGGTTTTTTCCGGATTGGGATCCTAGAGAGGTGATAGCTTCAGAGTCGGGAATTACAATTTTTTTTAATTGCTCTTTGTTGCTTTTACTCCTTCCATTCCATGTTAGTCATTCCCTAACTTCTGGAAATGAGAAGTGTTCTAGTTTGTCCTTTCATCTAAGGCAAACTGTGGATTTTGATCCCGTTGGGTGTATATTGATTCTGGCTGGTGCTGAAATGGTTGCTCAGTCTAATCTCTTGTTTACCTCAGTAGGACATTCACCCAAGTAAGAGCTGCAGGCACCGCCCCAGAATACCTAAGGGGGGTTTAATAGCAGGAACCTTGCCCGCCGGTCCTTACGAACCCTGCTAAGTTGTGCACGGGTGAGATGGCAGCAGTTAGCCCCGATGAACGCTCCCGGGGCTCTGACTCGGTCTCTGCGGGATCACCTCCCTCCTGAGGTGTAACCCGTGAAATGAAGTTTATTGGGATCAATGGATACTGCAGGTTTAAACTTTCTTGACGACGACGAACCAGACAGCTGATTTAAACCAGCAGCAATGTGGACCCTTCGTTCTAGGACGAATAAGGCCGTGTGGAGTCTTTGCAAATAAGTAAATAACGATGCTGACGACACTCGCTTTTGCTGTCTTTGAGATGGACTTTATCGGCTCGAGACAAGCAAAAGCACTTCCTTCGGTGCTAGTTGATTGACTCATTTCTGCTTAGAAGCACTAACTCAAGTTTCTGCCTCTCGGTTTGGCTCATTGCTGTTAGTATCCTCTGTAGGTTATTCTCCCTCTCCTGTCATTCTTCCTCGCTTCCTTTTTTTTCCCCTCTCTGCAACTCATTTTAAAACAGATAACCCTGGCACGCAGGTTGCGTGGGGTCTTATTCTCCAGCCCAAGAGACGTTGAAGTTATCAAAGCCGTAGGTTACGCACGGGGAGAGCGTGGTGTGTCTCCGTCCCCAACCCACCCTGAACTCATCATTCACGTACAGAAATCTCCCGCGTCTCCAGCGGGGCCAGCCACCGTACCTGTTACATATAGACCTTCCAAAATAGTTGGGGTCCGCGGTGCCATTTGAATTTCCGTGGCTGGTAATAAGGCAAAGCTACGTCCCTTGTCTCTTACCCGTGCAGACAGCAAAGGGAATACAGGCGCTAGCTGATAACTACGTTGCTTTCTGTATAAAAAAAAGGGGTTTTTTTTCCTTTCCTAAGCTTGCCGTGGCATGAGAATCTTCTTTTAGTCTAACTAAATCAGTCTAAATGGCTAGTTATTCTGAAATCTGCCCACTGAGGGCAGGAGAGCAATTCTCTGCAGCTTAGAAATAGGAGGTTTCCAGGGACGAAGCGAGCGAATTTCCTTAACCCCACATTCTTCATTCCGGACTTCGATCGCGATCAAATTGCTAAGGTTTAGCAAACACCTAAGAGCTGCTTTTGTGTTTCAGGCCCCGTATGTGTTCAGAAATGAAGCCCTCCTCGTCCGCAGAGGGGAAACCGGGACTATAACAGAACTGTTGCTTGGCGTGAGAGACAGCGACAATCCTCAGGACGTCGTGCTGATGGTTTTAGAGCCTCCACGGCACGGGCGGCTGATCAAACCTCCCGGAGACTCGGCTGCTGCAGTCCACGTATTCCACCTGGATGACCTTGCCGGCGGACTGCTGCGTTACGCTCACGATGGCTCTGACACCCGGGACGATGCCGTTGTTTTGCAAGTGAACGATGGGTACCGCTTCCAGAACGTCCTGTTCCACGTTAAGATTGCTCCCAAGGTACGTGCTGTGACGTTAAACCCTCGCAGGCAAATTAGAAGTCTGGAGAACCGTCCCCGAGGTGTCACTAATCCAACGTGACCGACAGGCTGCGGTCGGGGCGGGAGCAAGTAGCGGATTGATTGAGTTTTGGAGGTCACCTGAATTTCGGCTTTGTGACAGGACTGGTTCAGCTCGAGCCGCGCAGCTTTGACAATTCAAAGTCCGTAATTACTTGACAAAAACGACTTTCTGGAGTTGCAGGCGTTAGAGAATGAGCGGATGGCGGGGAGAGAGGGCTGATGAGATAGGCAAACCGGTCTCCGGGCTGATGGGCGGCACGAAAGGACCCGCGTGAACCACACAACTTGGCTCGGGAGGCGTAGCGCTGGTCCTTCGGTGGTGGCGGGGTCCGCCAAGGTCGGCATCTCTGCTGTTCCCTCAGCCTTGCTCCGCTGAAACCTTTCACTCGGTGCGTCTTTCTCTTTGATAACTTCCCGAAGGACAGGGCGCAGGCACCGAAATTCAGAAATTATTAAGAAGTATTTTAATTTCTCTTTCTTGCTTTTATTGCAGTTCATATTGAAACCCGGTTGCTTGTCTCTTCTGGTTTTGAACGTGAAGTGGCACTTGGTAGTAAATTTTATAGAGGTTACAGCAGTAGCATGGGAAACAGGGGTGCTTTTCCATTTGTTGATGAAACAAACCCCAGCCTAACGGTTCCTGAAATACCAACGGTATGAAATATGCGGTGCGTGCGGTAAAGCTGCCAAAGCGCTTGCAAGCATTTCAGTTCTGGTATTGTGTTATTGTAATAAAACAGAAGGAAAAGAAGGTGAAAATTTCCTTATCCCTTAATTAACTGCTTTTCCGTTTGTTGATGAAACAAACCCCAGCCTAACGATTCCTGAAATACCAACGGTATATGAAATATGCGGTGCGTGCGGTAAAGCTGCCAACGCGCTTGCAAGCGTTTCAATTCCGGTATTGTGCTATTGTAATAAAACAGAAGGAAAAGAAGGTGAAAATTTCCTTATCCCTTAATTAACGCGAGAGAATAATGAAAAACAGAGCTGTCGGAGAAGTCCACCATTTGCAGTCTTTTTATGGATGGATCTGAGAATTACACAGTCTTTGAGGGCTTCCGCTCCCTGAAAAGGCGTTAGGAGGAGATGACGTTACCTCTCGGGTGTCCTCCTCGCTGCTCTGTGAGATGTCTTTCACAGCAACTCGGGCGCGACCGTTTTAAGTAAGGTTTACAAGCAGAACGTGCCTCCGTGTAGTTAGCACGAGGAAGGATTGCTCCCGTTTGGACCCCGCGGGTGCTCCTAAAGCCGCTGTAGCAATCAATGATAATTAGTGATGTGACTCACACATCAGCCTGGGAATGACAAAGGGGTTGCTGTCAGGGCTGGTGCTGAGTTATTAGACTCCTGGAATAAGAGCAGCCCTGCCAGTGGTTTCTTTACCCAGATCCCTTACGTGGAGCCTGTGTCAGATCCGACTGTAAAAATGCTTGGACACCACCCTGTCTTGTTTGTAACGTTTTTGGTTTGGTTTTTTTTTTTGCTTTCGCTTAAACACGTTCTTGTAAATGCCGGTGAGGGTGAATTGCTGAGTATAGTTTCTTTTATCAGCCGATTTTGCGCTCCCTCGTCTCTCGTTATCTTTCCGAGTCTCTCTGTGCAGGTCTTGGCTACAGAGAAGAATGAGGATGGGGATGGAGGTGAGAGCGGAGTACGAGGGTAGAGCTGGCGGATACCCACCTCCTGCCTCATCCTAATTAGCGTCGTTGTGGAGTAGCCCTGGGAGCTGAAATGCATGCGGGGTTTGCTTCTGAAAAGGTGCTGTTGAGACCCACGCGTAAAGACTCTTTATTTTTTTTTTCCTCCCCCTCTTGGTTTACATCCAAAGATTGCTAAAGAGCCCGGTAGGAGCCTGGCTGGAGGTGTGGGAGCTCGAGGTGCGAGTTTTGAACCTCGTTACTTAGTTGAGTACGCGGAGCTTGTTATAACGTGCTGCTGGATGGTTTTAGATAGTAAGTCCTGGTGTGAAAGGATGTTTCTAGGGTTCCTATTCAGTGGGCTCCCACTGTGTAATTCTCAGACATTAATCCCTAGGAGCGCTGCGGTGAGAGCGTGCAAACAAACAAAGGACAGCATAACCTTCCAAATATTACCAATTGGAGGGGTTTATTTCTTCACAACAAGCGTGCCTTGTTTTCTGCAAGGTGCTTTTTTTAGTCCCTTCGGTTGCTAACCGCCTCCTTTTCCCCGGTCGGCCCATCCAAACGCTTCGTCTGACCTACTGCGCTCTCAACAGCTGCCCTCTATTTTGAGAGCTCTTAATTTGCACTGCCGTATATTTTTGTTGACGTTCTCTAACGATTACAGCTTCTGCAAAGTTAGTTTGAGACCTGCTGGTGCTTCGTTTTTGGCAGAGCACCGCCAGCGGTGCTCCGATGGGGAATAAGGAGCCCATGCCCTAGAAAATATGACGGCAGGTTCTGCGCCGTAAGTCGGAGGAGGTCAGACCAACCCGCGCGTGATCTGCCCGTTGCTGACGGGATACGGAAGCCTTGCCTTTCTGAGAATCTAGGGACAATGCAGGAAAAAGACAAAAGATGTTGATTTTGGGGGTGTGTTGGATCCCTAGAGGAGATCCAGCTAAGGGAGGTCTCCAAAATATTTGCAAGGCATTGCATCTTGCCCTGCCTGGGAGCAGGTAAGTGAAGCCTGGACCAGGGAGCGTGTTAGCATCCCCGGGCTCCCCGAACAAACTTTTCCTGCCCGGTGAATTCATTGGCAGAGTTTCCTATCTGTGTGCTCAGGTGTCAGTAACAAAAAAAAAAAAAAAGTAAAAATCTAATGTGATTCTAGCTGTTTTGCTGAAGACGGGGTGAGCGCTCAGATCAGGCAATAGCTTGTCGCTAAATATGTTTTTAAAAAGCTTACCAGGCAAAAAGAGCTGTCTCGTGACTGCGTTCTTATTAACGAGCAGGATCGCAGCATCAAAGCCACGTGGAAATGGTGTGACAAAATGCCAGACTGGCTTCCCGTGGCCAGTGAAGGAACGTTCGATCGTTTAATTACCGAAAAGCCGAAGGGTTCCATATTTGTAGCAAAACCACCACCTTGTGTTTAATTAACATTCGCTTCAGAAATATTTTATTTTCAAACAGTGCATTTTGCCTGTCATTCTTGGAAGTGTGGCTAGTCTCTCTTTCTTCTCCTTACACAATAAATCCAGGGACATTTCTGACCTTTTCAGTTTGTTTTCTGCTCCAGAGTGATGCTTTGCTAGGCCGGTATGTGTGAAGACATGATCGAATCGATAAGGTCAGAGGAAAGTCATCATCTATTTTGGCAGGGTTCTCTTGGCTGGCACAGGGTCTGGTTTTCTCCTTCACTCTTCTTTTAAAAAAAGTAAAAATAAAGCAACCGTTGTGCTGGGAAGCTCTTGACCTAACACAGTCTAAGATCACGCGGCGTGCAAAATAAGTGTAGTACAAATTAAGTGGGTGAAAGTTGTGCAGCGGACATGTCAAAATGGAGATGGGAAACCATCCTTGAATGTGATTCTTTTTCACAAACATCTTTGTAGCGCTCTGTCGCAGATTCAGAAGAACATAGTAATCCGTTCTTGGGGTGATGCGTGATTATGTAGGGTAGGAAATGACGAGGAAGATGATCGCTTACATGGAGCAGTCAGGATTCACGACAGGCAGTTTCAAGGTGATTCTGCAGAAATCACGTTTACAGCAGCTGGGCTTATAGGAAAGAACCATGGCACGAAAAAGGTGACGGGGATTTCGGTGGCCTGTCCAACAGAGCATGGGTTAACAAAGTAATTTAGAGCCAAAAGGGCTCAAGTAATCCTCGAATGCCAGAGTATGTGAAGACGGTAGTGAAACCATTACTGCATCCTGACATCCGCGTTTCAAGATGCTTGAATGAACATTGCATAAATATTCATCGGGAAAAAAAGCCGCAGGAATAATTCGGAAGTTAGAAAACCCACCGAGTAGCAAAAGGCTTTGCGGGATGCTCAGGCAGACTTCAGTTTTACAAAAGTGCTTAAGAGATGACTTGACCATGGGTGTAAGTCCCCACCCGGAGAGAAGATATTTGATCTAAAAGGCTTTGCACAAGTACGTTCGGACTTAGCAAAAAAAGTGACGTGGGTCTGGTGCAGTAGTTACGAAGTGAAATCTGTATACCACATTTCTGGATGTTAAACTGCTGCTGTTCGAGCAAAGGATGGAAAACTGTCGTAGGTCGTGTTTCTGCCAAAATCCGTCATTAGCATTTGCATCCCCTTAAGTTTAATTTTCCCCCGTCTTGTAGAACAGCATGAGGTTGGTCTTCAACCTGGGTTTGCTCACGGAGAGGTGATAACAGTTATAGATGTGTGTAAAGATAACGGAGGAGCCACAGAGGGGTACTTTTGAATGGCTAAGAAGCTGTTGTTCTCCAAGTACCCTTGAAAAGCGTGTATTTTTAGAAATAAAAGGAAGAGAGGTGAGAGGAAATGTGGAGCCAATCAAACTAGTATAGCAGGCTGGATACTTTTCTTCAGATGTTGAGGGTAGTGAATTTTCCACTGTGCCCTGGAGAGAGATTCTGTCGAGACGTGTCAAAAGTCAAGCGGAGAGAGAATGAGGATGGTGGAAAAAGACAAAATTACGGAGGGAGACTGAGGTCAGAAGGTTTAATGTCAGCAACAGGAACTTAGAAACCGAGGAGGACGAGGTCAAGTTCTACAGGGTGAGAACCGGGTCCCAGGGATAGAGGTGAAGGATGCACAACCCTTTCCTGAAGCAGACAACCAGGGCTGAATGCATAAGAGATTCCAAAATACTCTGCTTGATCCTTTTCACTCGAAAATCTCTTTCCATCGATTAAGCCTCTTTCTGCTGTCCCCCTGCATGCAGGATGACGGAAGCCCTCAGCTGGTGACCAATTCCCTGGTCTGGGTGCCCCAGGGAGGCATGCTACAGATCTCCAAGAGAATTCTGCACGCCGAGCTACCCGGTGCCCGTGACTCCGAGATAACCTACACCATCACCAAGGACCAGCCAAGACACGGTAAATATCTTTGGAGTTTTGTTGTCAAAAAGCAGCGGCTGTAAGGTGTTGCTTTTTCACCCCGCGTGCCCCAAAGTGTCCAGAAACAGGAAAACGGTGAATTCTTGTCTCCAAATTCCTTTTGAGAGGCTCTGATCTCGTCTCTCAGAGTAACGGCTTTCACCAGCAGCCCCACGCGTAGGACCGGATGGGAAAGAGAAGACGTCCTGCGTGGAGGGAAAGGAAGTACGGACAGAAAAGAAAAATGTTGCTTTTGCGCTCAGCATCACCGTTTTCTTCGCTAGAACCATGTCTTGAAATAGTATATTTTGCGCTTCTATGAAATGACATCATTGCTTTTCATTTGCTGAGCCGGATAAAATTAGAGGTTCCCTTTAGCAACATCGGGGCTGGGTTTTTTGCCTTTTGCTGTGAGGAGAGGCTGGTTTCCATAACAGCTGCCGGTACCTGATGGAAACACAGATTATGTTCTTTTTTTGCAATTTAGAAGAGAAGTAATTAATTTGTATTCCCCCTTTAGTTTTCTGCAGATGAAGGACTCTCTTCTCATTTTTAATAAGCATTTACAGGAAAACAAGAATTTTTTTTTCCCTGAGGAGCTTGTCTCCTGCTGCCTAACCCTAACCAGAATTTATGATCTTGTATTTGTATCACCATAATTATCTCTACTGTAATTAATTGCAATAACACAAATGGGTTTATAGCTGTAGGTGAGTAATCAGCAGTAGAAATCAATGATCTTCAAAATTTTATCTAAAGTACTATTTCACAGAAAGGAAGGAAAAAAATTAGACACAGAAATGTAGAAAAAGGATCCTGAATCAAGGGCGGGGGGGGCTTATCTGCCTATCTTAGTATTGGACTAACGGCAAAGATAGTCATACCTGTCGAAAATACGTAATTTGATTTTTAGATAGGAAAAAACCCCACTTTGGAATGAGCTACTACATTTTGTGCGTGGACAACGAAGGCTTCTCGCCCTTTATTTCAAGACTCTGAAGCCAAACGAGGGGGATGTAATGAGGGAAGGAAGCTCTCTGTCCACATCCCCTCCTTCTGCAGGGCGCGATTTGCTTCTGAACAGCGGGGCACCGCAGAGCGGTCGCCTTTTCGAAGGATCTCTTTACGCTGGACCTCCTGTTTTGCCCCTAGAAATAGAACCAGCGTCTTCCCCGGCTCTCATCCCGGCACGCAGGATGCCTCGACAGAGCTCCGTTACATGGGAAAAACTCTCCCTTCTCTAAGAGTGGGTATCGTTATACCCTAAGCTGCTCCGCGTGACGTACGTTCCTAGAGGACGAAGTTTCTGAAGCCAACGAAAAGCGATGCAAGTGTGCGATCTTCTTAAAACGAACGGGGCTCTGGAAATCGCAGCTGTATAGCCTCCGTAGATTTCCATAAATTGCCCGAGGGCGCACAGGTTGTACGTGCCTGCGTGTAACCTACCAACAGGTGCTTTTCTTCTTCAAGACAAACACCTTTCAAATCGGAAACTGTATGAGTAAACATCACAGACTTGTCCCTTCTGACCGCGTTAAATATTAATTTATAAGACGACGCAGGGACGTGCGTCTTGCTTAAAGCAGCTGTACGTTGTAATTGTTCCTTCTCTAACTTTGGGAGGGATAAACAACTTGCAGGCGCTGACTCCTCTGAATATTAGCATAGAGCGTGAGGATAAAATGGAAGTGTGATATTTCAGCTTGCTGAAGGATTTTTTTTTTTTTTATTACTCCGACTGCTCGAGGGTGGTTTTGGGAAATGAACTGGGAGAGCTTATGCTGGATGTTTTGCATAGCAGAATGATTAATGCTGTGAGGAGAGTTGAAGCGATGTATAACATATGTGGCTTCTGAGTTAGTAGCCACGAGGGATACTTTCAAAGACTAGTAGAAAAGCACAATGTATGACTAACAAGCTATTTAAAGAGCAGCTAAATTATATCTAGTCAGGAATAGTAAAGATAGGGAACCGTATAATTTTTTCACAGATTACATGTTAATTCCAAAACAAGTAAATGACATTGTAAAATAGAAAAACACGCCATTTATTTCGATACTGTAGCTCTCTGTCGGGTTTTAATTTCCTTTATGTGCGCGGTTAGGAAAAACGTTCACCTCAGTGAAATTAATGACCCGGGTTTTGATACCTTTCTCTTGGCGAGTTGAGTAATTTTATGCAAATCTGCTGAAGATGAGTAGTGCCATCAAAATCCAACCCTCGCAGGCCTCTGTGAGGAACGCTGATGGCCGGTGGGACACGGCCTCATCCTGCTCTTCTCTGTCATACCTGCAGTGGTGCCAGGGATGTTTCGGTCCAGCTCAGAATCTATTTCTAATACCAAAAGTCAGAAATAAGCTGGATGTTAGAGAGACGAACGCTACGTACTCTTTGGAGTAAGAGCTACAAAGCAGCGCCTGCAGACTTGCTGTACAGCCTGTGATACAGAGCTCCTTTACTATTTCTCTCCTTTTCAGTTGAAGGTTTCTGTTCAGCCGAGCCGGCTGAGTATACTTTTTGGCATAATAAGTCCCCAAAAGAGCTAGAAAAGAGCTGACCTTGACAAAATCAGTATGCCGTGTTCAGATACTTCAGTTGTGCCCTCGAGGGGAAGATGGCCGGTCTGCTGCAGTGCTTTTTCGCCCTGATCGCGTCTCACTTCCCTCTTGTCCCTCCACAGGAGCTCCAGAGAGGGAGGCATGTCCTTTCCCTCTGGTTTTCCGCTCGGTTTATCAAACGGGCACGTTTCAAGGTTGAAATGGGCTGCTCAGCGGGCAGAACAACATTTTGGGAGTTTAAAGTTGCCGATCCTGTTCGTTACTTGACCGTGTATTTCTTCTGTGTGCTTGCACGAGTTACTCGATGTGCCCTTTGCCAAACCAGGAGAGCAAGTTTCCCAGTGTCAGTGGGATGTCGGGAGGTCCATGAGTTGGGTTTTAGGAGCTCTGCTGCTATTTCTGTTAGTCACACTAGATGGAAAAAAAAAAAAACCCTAAGACTGGGTGGACGTTTGTCTCGGATGCTGGTCAGTTGGTGAAAAGGCCCCTATCCCTCCTTGTTTTCTCACGCGTCGTGCGCTGGCTGTTCATCTTCGCTTTTTCCCAGGGGAAGTGGTGCTTCTGGTCCCGATGCCGGCAGACGGCCCAGCAGACTCCTGGCAGCTTCTGCCCGATGGAAGAGCAGCCTCGCCTACAACCTCTTTCACCCAGCAGGACATCACCGAAGGCGTCGTGTGGTACAGGCACTCTGGATCTGAAGTAGAGAGCGACTCCTTCCAATTCCAGGTACTCCTCAGCGTATTCACGGGGCGCGCAGCGGTTCCGCTGGCGTTTTTCTCTGAGCTTACTCAGTCTGCCGTTCCCTCTGTCTTGTGACCTGAAGTTTTAATAGACACGCATACGTGAATAAGTGCACGTGCGCAAATGCGCGCGTGCATGTATATTTGTGTTTATATGCAGACTTACGCGTACGTAGCGCGTGTTGCTTGCCTCTAGATGAAGATGCTCCTGTGTCAGGGCAGATGCAACCCATCATTGCACTCGTGGGAGACTCTTACTCGTGCACAAGAGAGTTTTTGCTGCACGTGGATCCCCAGGTTTATATCTGTGGCGGTGGAGCCAGCCAGCCAGCCACGACGTTGAGCCACACGCGATGGCGTTAACCTTCTGGATGTCAAATCACGGGCCGTGCTGCAGATCTGGAGAAAATTGCCCTTCGAGTAGCGTCTTGACATTTAAGCTGTAAAATTAACAGCTGGCCTGATTGTCTGTGGAACAATTCCATCTCGGGGAGGAAAGGGGTTTGTGGAAAAGCAATGGCGTTGTCCTGGCGCCTGCTAGCTTGTCTGGGCGGGAAAGCTCTCTGAGCTCGAGAGTCCCCAGAGCGAACGGGCAAACAGATCAGCGCTTCCAGCTTCCATGGGCTGAAACCAGCAGGCCTGTAACATCCCGTCAGCGTGACGCAGCGTGTCCAGAGGCTGAGTCTTGCTGTGACGGTGATCCCTTCTCCGCTGGCCTTTTGCCTGTTGGGTGGGATTGTCCCTTGGGGACACCCTGCCGATGTGCTTGGGCTTGCTTTTGGGGAAGAAGTAGGAATAGGAAATGGTTTTTTTGCCTGGCAGTCCTTAGGAGAGGTTAACAGAGAAGGTAACCTGCCGCCTCCTTTCCGCCACCCTTCACCCTGAGATGAGGCTGGTCCCAAGGGACGAGGGAGAAGCGGGGAGGTGGCTCCAGAGGCCACGCGCTTGGCTGTCCCGCAGCTCCTCCAGCTGGGGCCGGACCCACACGAGCAGACCCCAACCGAGTGCTCCTGGGCACGCTCTGCTAGGGCAGGCACGGACATCGGGGAGAGCGCTGCCCTGTGCCGGCTGCGCGCCTCCACCTCACGCCCCGGCTGCAGGAGGTTTGAGCCCTTGATACTGCACGGCAAATACATCGCCCTCTCATAAAACCTGTAATAATTACTCCAAGTGCCTTTTTTTAAATTATTTTGCAAGCCCCAAAACCAAGCAACCCTCCTTCCTCC